GGTTGGAATGGCCTTTGTAGCTCCTGAGGTGAGATGGATAGAGGGAGTCGCTCAGGCACAGACTTGGAAATCGTTCTCATATCGCTGCGCGGTGAAGTCGTGTGCAGTGAGGCCGTCTGCTCAGGGGTGAACGGATAGGTAGTAGCGTCCAGATTTTTGCTTCTCGCCTGGGAAATTGTGGCCTGGCCGAAGCTGTCGGTTCTGTGTTCCGGGTCCAGGAAGGAGGGCGTACCCGCTTCAGTATTGCTAAAGTCGACGCCAAAGAAAGGGTCCAGTCCATCATCCATATCGCTGAAGTCGCTCGAATGATATTGGCTGTAGTTAGAGATGGACTCTGCTGGAGTATCGTTGTAGTTGGGTGAGACGGAGCTGCTCTGCAACTGAGACGAAGGCGAGAGATGATTCGGGTCAAATGAAGTGGCAGTCAGTCGTCGTTGACCACTACTTGGTGGGGAGGGGTTGTGGGCATCGCTAGCTTGTCCATCGTGCAAGGCCGCGGGAGGTACGGCGTATGTCGAAGCCATGGCCACGACACGACGCGAGTGTATGGGGGGAGATTGTAGGAGAGGCTAATCGTGATATATAGGTTGGCTTGATGTAAAGGTACGGTAAATCAGGCGAGATGGAGCCAAAGCCGAGGACGGAACTACTCTTTGAGAGTTGTTAGAAGACAAGCGCTGTCATGTTCCGACTTGATTGTGTTGGTTGAATTGGAAGCGATCAACTGAGCAGGCTGAAGGTGGGGTTAGGCGACAGTCGCAACAGGGCTCCAGGAAGCAGTCTTGCACCAGTTTGTGGATTGGAGCAAAAGGCACGATACTGTGTTGACAAGGCGATGCGATACCACAGAGCAGTTGAATGTGGAGGAGGAAAGCAGTCGCCAGCGAGCAGGGGGGGGAAAGCCACGAGAAGAAGAAGAAGTGGTCGTGGAGGGCGGCGGCGTTTGCGCGGCCTAGATGTGTTGGTCGTTTCTTTCGTCCAGCGCTTATGCTTTTCGCTGATTGTGTATTCGGACAGGTGCCGTGGGGAACAACTGGGTCAAGCAACAAGCAATAGATCAAACTTGTCTAGGTATGCGAGCATTAAGGTGCTGAGGTGATTTCGAAAGCAAAAGAGTTGTTTGCGGCGTTTCGCGGTGAGGCTGAGTTGAGGTCGGTGGCAGAGAAGTATAGCCAAGATGGAAAGAGTGACAGTCGACCGGTGGAAGAACGGGGGGTGCGAGGCGGGATATGCGATAGAGTATCCGCGGGTCTTGTGTAAAGAAGCTCAGGAATCAGGGGTATGCGAGGGGGTGTACAAGACTCGATGAGATCATGCAGAGACAGTAGAAGGAGGCGGAAGAGAGCCTAGGACCGGCGCATGGGTTGAATGTGGCAGAGTCGCGAGCCGGACGGGAGGCAGAGGAGGGGAGAAGGGGAGAAAAGAGTTGGTGAGACTTGTAAGAGAGAGGGAGAGGGAGAGATGATCTTGGGATGACGAGGGGAGGGATGGTTGGATAGGCGTAAGGTACGAGTACCCAGCGGGCTAACCTTGGAGAAGTAAGAGACGGTTGGGGGTGGGGATGCGATTGTGACAAGACAAGCGCGAGACAGGACGGAATTCAATCTCGAGGAGGGGCGGAAACCAATTAGAAGCCAGGTACCTGACCTACCTACCTTAGTTAATAAGGCAATTAGGCGGACATTTGCAGGTGGTGGTGGTGGTGGTGGTGCATGGCGAAGGTACGAAGGTGCGCCCCAGGGTCAATTGAAGCTCAAGATGGGAAGGGCTAAAAAGTACGGTACCTTTTTTTTTTTATTACCTTTGGTAAAGATAGAGTACCTATTTGCTCTATACTATCCGTACCTTGGGATGAGGTACCTTGGGTAATTTTCAACACGAGCAGAAATGGAAAGCGAGAGAAAGACTCAGAGAGAAGTGACACTATGGGAGCATGAGAGTTTCGGTACCTTGAGGTAGCTTTTCCCACTGCCCGCCAACCCACACACCCATTGAATTAGACTTGGGCAGTCTGCCTGGTGTCTCTCACTCTCCCGTCTCTCATCCAGGTTCAGCTGTCGCGTCCGGTCCGCCCTCGACGTTCAGGTTCCATTGTCTCAGTGAATAGGAAGCGTGTGGGCGGTACCTTAGCGGTAGCATGCCGGCCACTTGCGCAGCCCACCGAAGCGGGAATGCGCCACAACGCTGCCCTCTTGTCACCTAGGTTCTTTACCGATACTACGATGTCCTATGGCTACGGGGACGGAGGATTAAGGACGGACTACCTAGTGGCTGGGTACGGACAACAACAGGGAAGAGATGGCATGCGGAATTGCTGCTCGTCTGTTCGCATCGTTGATTCAGATTTGGTTCTCAAGTGTTCGGCCGAAATCTGGAGGAACCACACCTTCTTGATCCCGAGACTCGGTTTGTACGGTCGAGAATCGCGATATTGTCAGATCAGGTACCTGACGTGCTGACCCAACTTGGAGGAGTCGTGATATATCGCTATCTTGCCATATTCTCATGCAAGAACCTTACATATCTCGGAATGCCTTGCCTTGGTAATGCTCCTGCTCCATGCTCCATGCTTCCTTCCCGCTCATATTCATGTCGACTGCGACTTCCTCATGGCTCATGCAGCAACGCTGCCCCGCTCCGTCATGTGGGGCATTTGGGAGACTCCGAGAACTGGAAGGAACGCTCACGTCTCTGAGTGGTTGATAGCTCAATACAGCGGTACATATCCCTTAGCCTCAGTACATGTACGAAGTACCTGTTCACAGGCGCACTCGCTCGTAGGGCGGAATGGGGGCCGGGAGCGAACCAGGAGCGAACCAGATGGCAAGGGACCTGAGACCGCCACCCACACCCACGGCAAATCAAAGTATCGTCTTAATTCTTCCATTTGCGCGAGGCGTTCTTCTTTACTGTCGTTGGGCGCATTTCTCTCAGCCCCAGCCCGCAGGGCAGTTTTACCTCTCCACTGCAACTTTGCAACTGGAACTCCCGACCGACCGTCCTCGACCTCAGACTCAGAGTAACCTCGGACCTCACACACTCATCCCGTCACCCACTCCCCGTCTTACACTTGCGCCGCCGTATGAGCAGGGATCCAATACCTACATCCATCCCACCTCATGTCTGCCATCTGGCAGCCCACCACATCTTGTCGCACAGATGCAAGCTACTGTGGCTTACTTCTGTCCCTCCACTTAGGTCACGCTCTGCTCTTACGCTCAGCGTCCGTCGCTGCACCTCACAGTACCTTAGTAGATGGGTGGCTGGATTCTTGTCCCTGGGCTTGATAATGCCACAAGATTAGTGTCATCTCGACCTCGACACGACATTCGGTCATCGACCATCGATAAACCTTGGGTCAGCCTGTGTTCACCGAGAAGGCAGATTTCCACTTCCGGCCCTAGCTTCTTCGTATGGTCCCTCTCACATTCTATCACCGATGCTGTCCGCCCAACACCTCATACCGACCACATACCAAACCCTTGAAAAGCGCTCGTCAGACTTACCGGCTTGCAGACGCTTGATGTCATCCGACGGCATGTGCTTCTCGCTGAAAAGCTGCGGTAACGTACGAATGCATGCCCTTGTGGCAGATGCTACGGATAGGCATCAGCCCCTAAACAGAGTGCCGCGAATATCGACAATTGTTTCCGCTTAAGGGTCGCTCATCCATATGGCAGCAGAAACGCTTTCAGCTCGGTCGCCATATCGCTCTCGCATTCAAGAGTCTAAAAACCGAATAACCCCCCATTATCCGCTCTGTACGGAGTACAGGGTACGAAATACTGGGGAAAGCGACATTGGCTAGTGGGGCCTAGCACCATTATGCACAGCCGCAGCCGCCGCGATGGAACTCGGATATTTCAGTCGAGTTGGGGATCCTGGGCGAAGCAGAAGCGCTGTGTTTTTGAGCTTGACCGCTAGCCTGGCGGTGCACTCCGCCGGTCGCCGCTCCAAACCCGCGGCATCAGGGTTGCGCAGCGCCATAGACATCCCCGACCCGTCCGTCCATATCGGCGACGCCTCACGCGTTGCATTGAAATACCGGCGTTTTAATGCTCGCTTGTTGGTCTCCGTGTCTTATCTGCGGCTAATAATGATGCTCCCGCAGACCTTGATATGTATATTTATTCGTGCTCTTGGAGTGTGCCTCGAGTGAAGTCCCCATCTTCCGCCTGATCCGCGAATGGTGGGCAAGTCTCCAGTAACGAGCGCCTTTCGTAAACGCGATCTCTCGGCGGTTAACTAGATTAATGCTCATCTATGAGGCATGTTCTATCGCGAAATAGACGCAGCGAATGTGTCGGTTCGACACGATGCCGAGTATGGAAAACTTTCGGCGACCTGGAACCATGAACGGACACCAAGACGCATGGATCATAATGCTAACGGATGACCTAGACTTGAACCAGACTTCTGTCAAGTCTCCCAGGTCCTGAGAACCTCTCGAGATCTCGACATAAGTGCTATACACAAAAGAGCATGTAACCAAACAATTTTTTCAACAAATCCTGGGTGCATATATCACGGTACCTAGCCAGCCATTCTGCGTCGGCGGAAGAAAGGATTCGAAGTGTAAGAAGGTACGATGAACGCATCCTCGGGGACGTCTTGGGGGCTTATCTAATCACTGCACCTGATCCACCTCGGCGACGTCGTCAACCACCACCAGCACCACCAAGAGCCAGGGTGGAGATCACCTGCCCAGAAACTCTAAAGCACTACACTTCAGCTCTCGATCTATCTACCTTACTCCGTATCTCTATGGCGATGGAGCCATTTCAGCCCTGAATTTCGCCATTCGTTGACTTGACTATTCGGCTCCCGCCGCCTTCCAATTGGCTTCGTTTCCTCCAGTGTAGGAGCCGTACAGATACTACGCAGCTGCAAAAGCGGCTCAGTCGCAATCCAATATAGCTCATCGATCGTAGATATCCTGACCCGGACTGCTCGGGGATCAGCATCGTAGTGAAAGAGCCTCTCAAACACTTATCATTACGATGTTTCAGGTTCGTATTCCCATCTCGAAAGAGAGCATCTTCTGCAATGCCACATCGAGGTCTATAGTCACCGATTTTTTCGTAATGAACTACCGCAGCTCACCATCGCCTTTTCTCATCCTTACAGCCAAACCCCCAAGACCACCTTCACCTGCGCCTCCACCGCGCCCGTTCCGTAATCCTAACCGCCGAGGAGTGAGTCTCAACCTCCGTTCCTCTCAAAACCTCTCCCATCATTGACAGTATTGACCCTTCCCTCCCCGCGCCAAAAAGACTCGTCGAGATCCGCGCCGCCCAACGAACCTTCGAAGGCGCCTACATGCGCACAGCCCTCTCCCAATTCTCCTTCGCCCTCATCATCCTCAAAATCTTCACCTCGGAATTCTACGCCATCGGCGCCTTGTTCGCCGTCTACGGCGCCGCCGTCATGCTCGTCGCCATCTTCCGCCGCCACGAGGGCAACCGCCAGTTCTTCACGAGTCCCAAGGTGGACGAGGGCAGCGGCGCCGCGAGCGGCGGCGTGGTGCGCAAGTTCCGCACGAGCGGGAACAGCGTCGCCATGCTTACCGTCTTAAGTCTTGCTGCGTATGTTACGCTTTTGGTGCTTACGTGGCAGCTTGTGCAGTGATGCGAGGGGTGAAAGGGGAAGGGGAGTTGGATGAGTAAGTAAGCTGGTCTGGGTTTTTGTGGTTTTTTTGTGATGGGAGGATGGAGTTTTGGTGATTACGGCTGCTGGTATCTCTTCTGTCTATAAAATGTACGAGGTCGCGGTGATTTACTCTCATTAAATCATGTACCCTGAATCTCAGATTCCGATCTTAACCACTAATTAAATCATCAAGGTTCTCCAGAGTAGACCAAAGACAAAGTCAGGGCTTTCCGTGACTTCTCTGTCCTCTGTCATATACTCTCAGCCTAGATATCAGAAACTCAGCGCCATGCCAAACATCCGATGGTCCAGAATCGCAACACAGATGTGGGTGACGGGTATCAGCAATACCAACCATATTGTCACTACCAATGGGTACCCATCAACGGTGATCAGGACGTCGAATCCTTGGAGAGGTCTAGTCTCAACAATTAGATACTCGTACGCCTCAGGCAGCCTGTAATTTTGTCAGGGAAATGGGATCTCCGTCTACAACGTCACTAGAGGAAGTGGGTTGAAAGGTGTTTTTCAATTACGGGATCTTGATTTGAAGCAAGACAAAGGGGTACACATCACTGATAAAATGTCTGAAACTGGGTTCCCTATCTCCATACGAAACAAATCGCGTCCAGTGAGAGTAATCCCATCCAACTTCAAACCTAAAGTTACTTGTTCACAGTGTATTTCAGTAAGCTAGACATGTCTCCTTGACATATCATGCATCATGCGTTGGGACTCGCGGGCATGGGTACCTGAGTGAGTCCAATGTATTTTCCGCCTAGTCTCGACCTTTACCGATCTCAAGGCCGTCTTCCCATCGACTTGGCATTTGGGGTTCATCACCGAATACAAAACCATGGACTGCCTCTCAGGGTAGAAGGGCAAACAGGTAACAGCAACCCTCAGCGCGACCCCTCACTGCAAGAGCCCAACAGGGTTGTGAGCTTGATCTCACAAAGACAAGAAAAGAGCTTGATAGGTGCAAAAGTAAATTCAAGAGGACCAGAGAAGAATGAACGGGCTCAATACCAAAATCTGGATTGAAGTATTCGCCACTTCCGAGGAAAGTTCTCGGAGGTTAGGGAATTCTATGTACTGATAAGACGCGCGCTCGAGAGAAAAGAAGGGCAAAGAAACCAAAACGGCTGTATGATAAGAATGTTGAACTGTGCATTGAAGGAGATTTGTTGAAGCGAAGAAGAGAAAACAGAAGAGGAAGCAACTAAAGGCGAGCAACAGGTAAGCGTCATGATGACGCCGGTGGTATACAATGCGCGTGTGTCTCCAGACCCGACAAATGCGATCCCTCCCCTTTTTGTTTTCGAAGCCTGCCTCATCCACTTGCCGTCGCTTCTGTACTTCCCATAGCTCCTCAATGCTCGTTGCGAATATAAACACGAAAGGCAAAGGGAAGACTCTTCGTCCGACTGTACGGCGCTGCGGATCGCCGCGCCCGGCCCGAATCTCCCGTCTCACGGTGCGTTCCCGAGACAAAAAGTGACCTCGTATTCCGCCTAGGTATAAGTCGGCTCCTCCCCCTCCCCGCTTGCTCGGCATCGACCATGCGCCTTGCGCTCGGGGCCCCGCAACATTCCTTCCGCGATGTGCTTGCATTCAAATCTGACGTCTGCCAGCAACACGTTTCGTGCGATCCCGGCGTTGCGGAGCCGTCATCGGCATGCCAGTGTCCCTTGATCCTCGCTTGAAAATGGGGCATATGGTTGCTGTTGCTTTTGAATCCCTCAAACCCCCATTGATTGCTTTCTGTCGTTTCTCGTTCCAGGGCGGTCAAGGCTACCGTTTGGAACATTTTTTCCGGTTTCGCATGAATTTGAACTACTCTCCTATCTTTTCTACTTAGCCTTATGTTTGCTTAGGGTATTTTGTTTTTCTCGTTCTTCTCTCTTTTCTCGGTCATGGGCTCCGTCTCGTCCCCTTTATGCCGTGTGCCAACTTCGATGGAGTTTGAAGCAGAAGAAGGATGTTTGGAACCGGGGTTCTCAGGGCTTTCCGTTGATGATGTAGCAAGGTTGTGGCTAGGAAGTGCCTAGCTTCCGCTACTGTTGTCATAAGTTGTCCAAGTGTCGTATCCCTCGGATGGCCTAGGATAGCCGTAGGGGGGCTGCTGCTGCTGCTGCTGTTGCTGTGGCCAAGTACCGTAACCTGAAGGCGGGTTGGCACCTGCAGACATGGAAACAGTGTGCGGGTCCATAGTTGGGAAACTTGTCGCAATCGGGTTCGTGTACATGTCGGTCGTCATCGCCGCCGAAGACCTTCTGGGGAACTGCCGGCCCTGGTGTGACATCGTGGGGTATTGTGTAGGTATCTGTGTGCCTCTTGGGTATGCCATAGGGTTCCCTATTGTGAATGACGAATAGCCCATATTGTTTTGAGCATTGATGTCTGCGTTGCTCCAGCTGGCCGACGGTGGGGCTTGAGATGTATACGGCGAGAACGACGGAGACGGAGTAATCGGGGACTGTTCAGCGTAAGACTTCTTCGTTTCCTTCAAGTCACCTGGCTTTGTTGCATAGTTGGAACTAACATCTGGTGATGCCCAGTTCGTGATTTGGGGATTCGCAAAATCGTAGGGCTGAGAAGACGCTGTAGTGCTCGAGACAGGCACTGTTCGCTTGTTAGCTATTTGACAGGTCTCCGGGATGCGTGGAAACTGGCCTGTGGGGTCCTGACCAAGATTTCCGGCTGCAGAAGTCTGGATAGTTGTCGGTAGTACGTTTTGTGACGAGGGCAGAACTCCTCCTTGATGGTGCTGATAGTGTTGGGGTCCTTCTGGGGCTTGTCTAGGAAGTACAACGGGAGAAGACGATGCGGAAGCGGTGTTAGATCCCCCGGCAGGTCTCGATTGCGCTTTGGGTTTTGCTTCAGTCATGTGAGACGGCGCCTGGTCTACAGGGAAGAAGCTACAGTCCTTCTTCAACCTGATGCAGTTCCTACATCGGCCATCACCTTGTACCTCTGACATTATGCACCGAATTTTCCGCCTGCGGCAATGTCCTTGACGTTGCTGCCGTCAGTACAAATTCAGAAGAGACGCGAGAGGACGGGCACAACACTCACCACAAGCTACCGAGGTCCGGTGATAGCCCAGCTTGTTCCTCTTCTTGTCCCCAGCTTGGCCAGACTGACTTGAATCAGAGATATTGGCCTGCCGCAGTCTGACATTAGGCTTGTTCATGGAGCGTTTCGATTTTCGACGACTCGCCTGTAAGATGGAATCTCTACGCTCCTGGTCTGTTGGCTCGTGGGTCCCCTGGTCCATCGATGCTTGGCCTGAGCCTGGTGCGTCGTAGCTAGGCGCGAAGCCAGAATTGGGGACCTCCATGTCGGAACCGAGGGGAAGAAAATGCGAAGGATATGGGTAAGACATGATGGAACCCTGCACTCCAAAGTCGGTGACGTTGCAAAGTCGAATCCTTCTCGGGAAGTTAGGTCCATATAAAGGTCGGAGACCTATACTGCTATACCCTTGATAAACCTGTTGATGTCGAAGCGTCACACGATAGAGATGCGGAAAGGCGTTTCGAGGTGTTGGACCCTTTAGGCTGGCGATACAGTTTAGAATCCGGGCGTAACGTTGGTCGAGCCCTGCTGATGTTGGTCCGGAATCGAGGCTTCGTAGAAGCAATCAACGAAGATGCAGTGCGTTCTTGACGTTTGTCAACAGACACTTCTTCGAGGTGTCAACGAGGGGGCTACCCAAATGACGGGTCAAGATTTGCCGTTGATGTCGCGTTGGGTGCGGTACGGATAGAGCGCGGTTATGACCGATGCGGACACGGCACAAAGCGATGCCAGGGACGGACCAATCGAGATGATTTGAGTGGTCCAGCTAAGCTGCGAGTGCGGTAACGGCCAGGATGGTGTACCAAAGTCGGGAAGCTTTCTTAATGGGCTGCCGTCAAAATTGGGTCGGCTCCCCAAGTTTTTCCCGGTTCCGTGGGCTGATGATTACCACCCAAGTTGGGTAGGAAGGGGGTAGTCTAATAACAGCAACTGCAGACAGCGTATACTTGAATTCTCTGCGTTGGGATGCGTGTCATGCCGCTGTGAAAGTTTATATCGAGGGTATATTGGGTCGAGTCGGTTAATGGTGATGCTTGGGAGGTGTGACGTGGAGACAGAAAGACGAAGGTATCGAGCCTGAGAATGAGACCAAGACGTGGTCAGACAAGATTCAACCCTAAGTATGGTTTTGCATAATTTTAAGGCCAACCACGAAGGAGGAAAGAACGCACGAGGGAGAGATGACGAAAACATCCGAGAAAAGAAAAGAAAGGCACGTACCTTGCCAGTTAGAGGCTGCTGAACGATAGCGACTTGCTTCCTTGTTTCTCTGGGAAACCACCAGGACTACAACGGCAACAAGGGTGTCAACAACATGCTTTTGGTCTTGGGCATCCAGGTCAAGTTTTTGGAGTCGCGCCGTTATAGGGGAATGGGGCATCGATGGTGTGTACCTGATCTTTGGAGATGGTCGTCAAGGAGAAAACCGCCAATAGGCTTGCAATTCTAGACAGCAAATGCCTCTCGAGTATGAGAAACTCAGCCTTGGCTGTGTAATTCCCTCAACCTTGATATCCCAAATTTGAGTTCCTTCGGGGGCTCGCAAGTGTAAACAGGGTTTCTGGTTCACTATAGTAGTCGGTCAGAAGGTAGATGCAAGGCACCAACGGACAAGACGATTGACGAGCAAATGGATAGAAACCAAGTAGCTTGTGGAGCATCAGGGAACCAGTCTCCAAGTGAAGACACCAAAGGGGAAAGCACTCTGATGTTTACATACCTTGCTTGACGTGTGGCTGCATTCAGGGAGTGCCCAAGTAGTACCACGCAGCTAGAACGTTGTGTTCGAATGCGAATGGACCGCGGCAGATGGATGTACCGTTCCAGCGCCACCAGATGAGAATCTCGGCTTATTAGTTGAATGTACGCGCTAACAGGAACGCTCTAGATGATTGATGGACGTTTGGTGACAACTGTACGTGGGGGCCAGGTAGCTTGTCTCAGCCAGCAGATAGAATGCTTCCGATTCGCCCGTCTGTTTACCGCCTCTTAAGACTCGTCTGATCGTAGGGCAGTCTCTTCGAGGCTGAGACGAAGACGTCGGGCCACGAGTTCGAGCCTGTGAGCCTTTGAGACTTTCGGAGCAGTCGTCGAGAGAGTGAGATGAGTTGCAAAGACTCGAGGGCTGAGTTGCTTAGGTGTGGTGCTAAGATGGTAGATGTGGCGGGTTTATAGAAAAGGGTTGTTGTAGCGATCTCAGTGGCGAGGGGCTCGCTGGAATCCTTCGGTCATTGGAGGAGGCCGGTGTGAGAATTTTCAAAAGAGTCCAGTCTTGTAGGGATGCAAAGCTGGTCAAATGGGGAAGACCCTGAAAACCTGGTTCTGGTCCCTTCCTGCTTCGGTCCACTCTGACATCGAATGATGATGCTCGGCCCTCTGCTTGCGTCTGCCGTGTGAGGATGGAAAGAGGATTGTAAATGAGGTCTCAGCCAGAGAGGTTGAACCAAACTCTAGACATAGAGAAGTGATTCAATAATGACAAGGGGAGAAGAACAAGGAGGTGCGGCGGGACGGCATGCAGTTGGCAAGAAGTTGAGGAAATTAGAGAGTACAGCCAGAGGCCAAAGTCATCAGGCCGTTCTAATGACCCCAGAGTCTAGGCGAAAATGGAAAGTCAAGAAGAGCAAATGGGCTTTTGGATTCTGAAAAAGGTATCCTGAAACTGCTTCTCGAAAAGCGCTTGCCCAGAATAGTCTTTGTCCTTCTTCCCTTACCTTTCTGTGACGACCCTATACCATTGATCGTGTACCTAGATCGTTATTCGGACTTGATAAGCGCCGGGTAGTCTGGAGGCACTAGAATCAGCAGATGCTCTGCTTGTGATCTTCCCTCGACACTCCCTGGCACGATCCCTCGTCCGTGATGCGCACCGAGCAGACTCCCAAGCCAGACGGTGACCCTACAAAGGATATTGAGTAGCAAGCGCTGGGTACCCGGCGTCTCATCTAAGGCAGCGCAGCTGTCGATTGGCTGGTTGTCGTCACACTTCATCTCACCCCATCTCATATCCCATGCTCATCTTGCGAGCTCTTGGAGGGTGCTTGAACTGACCGGGGGCCACTCGCCGTCGAGTTGCCTCCAAGCGGCCCTTTCCTCCAACCCCTGCCCCATCAACGGGGATCTAGGAAGTGTGGGAGTGTGGATATGAAAAGCCTAGGCAGCCAGGGTGTGTTGGAGGGGTACGCAACTCCAGATGACGAGACAGAAGCCCAGATGCCATTCTCGAATCTTTTGCCGAAAATCAGGCACAGGAGGCACGCGGTCAGGTACTTCCGAGGGCTAAAAATTGGTGGGTATTGGCTTCTGATGAGGACATACCTCAATCGAAAGTGAACTGCTAAGAGACATGGCGAACTGTCTTACTGGTTTTGCTGCCAACCTGGAAAGTTGACCACTATACTCCGTACCCGTCTCGCTATAGGCGATAAGAGACTTATGGTCTTGACTCTCCAGTTTTTCCGAACGAATGCCTCATTCTACCGTATCCGCTTGTACCCCTGTTTGAGCCTGTCAGTTTTGCGGATCCTGGTGAAAGTAACGTCCAAGCACTGGTAGACTTGGGACGAAAGATGTGGGAGCTTGTCCCGCTACTTCCCTGCTCGCGCCATTGCGTCAAAGATTATCTTTAACCGTTGCTACCAGCCGTTGTTGTTCGCGAACTCCTCCACCTTGAAGTCTACAAGAAAGCTTATTGCTTCCAGACAGGTGCCGGACGTATCACCTGGTAGGTAATTCGAATGCCTATCTGGTTACAACTTACAACAGTGCTTCCATGCCCTAGTCTCTCGCTCCATTGATGCCGCGGAGACTCCGCCGAAGATATCAGGGCCATGACACAGGAAGTTGAATACGTGCGATTCTCTGGGCAATCTACAATTCCTGGCCATACTGTCTGCAGGAATTGAAGGACCTCAAGGTTCGGGCGCTTCCGTCACTCGGTAGAGGCTATATGTGACTCAGTATTGTCTTGTCATCTACAATGCTAGACAGGCTGTGCCTAGTTGAGGAAAGATGGGTTACCGATGGCGGGTTGCAACCTCACCACGTTCGTGGCCCATGCGTCGTCTCCAGGAGCTAGGCCCGTGACCTTCCGTTGCCGTTGTCAGAAATCCCAAGAAAATCCCAAAGAAATCGTTATACGTAAGGTATCCGTAGAGTGCTCGTTGTGATTCAGGGGCAAGTCGCCAAGCGCGATGGAAACCAGTGGTCTGGACCATTAGACCCAGAAAGGCGCATATGGCAATGCGTCGCGCCCATCTTTGATGGATTGAACGACCCTTTCATCTCGCTTTTGCTCTTCATGCATGCTTTGACTTTGTCACCTCTGCAGCACTCGAAAAGGTTGCAGGGCTAGCGGCCCGCGGTGACACAGCTGCCGAGATGTTCCAGCTGCATGGGAAGTGCCTGAACCATTCCATGCCTCAACTCTCAATTGCGGGCGGCATCATCCGATCAAGCGACGCTACGTTGCTGCACGTAGGGCGGCGCGGCAAAGCAGAGCCTCGACCGACGGCCACTACCAGTACCGCTGCCGCCACCACCACAACACTGGCTTCTCGGCGGGCGTGAGGAAAAGCCTCTCAAGTCCGGGACAGCGGACCAGAAAAGACGGCCTGAATCAGTTGAGTAATCTCGCGCAGGCTCAACTCGGAAGATTGTCATGACAACAACTCTGCGATTCGAGGTGTCGTAACAGCGAAGCGCTCGTGAGCAGGCCGCTACTTTACATTAATCCTGACGTGCCGCTTGACAGGCCAGAAAACTCAACATTGGGTTATTGAATGATCCGCCAACGAGGTCACTTCTCGGGAGATGTGATTTCATCTGAGAGTTGGGACGAACTAGAGTTGACGATGGACGATGATCAAAGAGCATATTACCCAAAGGTTCTATGTCCGCTTCCACCTTCACTTGCAGGACTTGATCTGGCATGATGCGCAGCCAGGATATGCCATCAAAAAAAGAAGCAGCCGCACTTGACGATGGTCTTCCCGAATTATGCTGTGGTGTTCCGCTGCACCCCGCATTTCCTTAGTTGTCGTTGTTGGCCCTGTCGCCGCAAGTCTCGGAGCATCGTCCCTTGAAAACCTTGCCGATCAAACCTGATCTGAATCATCCCAACGTCTTCGGAACTGACAGACATCAGACAACCGAGTCCCCTGGCACCCCGAACAGCAAAGGGACAGAAAAAAGCTCGGCCCGTTGTGTTGTGATTTTCTTCTTCCCCAACAAGCTCCACCCCTCTGTTAAGGAAGGTCTCTGATCTATCCAATTCTGGGATGGATCAATAGGGAGTGATCATGCGTGTCACAGTTCATGGTTGTCATGCGTCTTCTGCCTCGGCCTGCTCCCGAGGCCACGAGTATTGCGCTGTAGAGACTAGAGTTGACCCATAGGTGTCACGGTTTCCCCCGCGTCCAACAATACTCCTTCTGCTGCCCTCGAAGCCACGACTGGTTGCCTCGCTTGCTTAAGGACCTCGTGGAATGTAACACTCTTGGTCGCCTCTACCAGTCTGTCTGGCGTTCGGTCTCATTGTACCACACGACATGAGCATTGCCAGCTTGCCAGGCACGTGCCAGGCTGAGAACCTAGGTCACAGTTTGAGGTATCGTTGTCTTGTAGAGATCGCCGGCCCAGCCAACCGACAGGGCTTAGGCAACCCGGCCCAGGACATATGGTCGTGCCTTTTCCGCACAAGGCATTCCTGAGCTCGAAGAGAGGCTTCTCTTTCGGTCCTAGCGTAGACGAGCTGAGCCGCTAGCTAACGGGATCCTAGTGTAGATGGGGAAAAGGACCGTATTGTGGTGGTGTATGTTCCGCCCACACCTCGCTCCTCAACTCCAGATTTGCGCAAAAAATGATCGACCCTCCAGCTATCCGGGGCGTCGTACATGCCACAAAGGGATCGCCGCAATCTGGCGCACTTCAGTTGAAGCCAGACTAGCGACACTGCCGTCGATCTCGCGACAGGGACCGGCGCTGGACAACGCGACTAGGATAGCGACACCATCTTTTGCTCGTCCAGATCTAGGGAATTCTGCGAGACAACCGTATGGATGGATCCCTGCCGTGTCAGACACCTTCAACTCCGAGTTTCCTGTTGTAGATCCCGAGGCTCCTCGCGATATTCGGCAGTGGACCTGTGGGTTTCGCTCCGCCCACTTGCCAATCTCTAGTCCTCCGGATAACCTCTTTCCTTGATGCAGGGAACCCGCCAACATACTCTGACTTCCGCAAACCCTGGCTCGGCACAAATACTCGCAGTGTTCCGGAGGTTCTGCTACAAGACCTAGGCAGGCCTGCATGGCGTGAGTCGACGTCACTCAAGAGTTTGATCTTCTCTCATCCTTGCCCTTCTTATGTCCGTTGTTGATCACTCCGGACATGTTAGTGGCAGTCAAGAGACGGTCGATCACGACTGGAAATTAGACTGTGATCCGCTTGTGGTAATGAGGCTGTAAAAGCGAGAAAGGTCAGCCGGGCTCCCAATTGTCCTGCTGGTTGAGTCATGGTTTGTTGACTGTCGGATCGCAGCTTTATCCGACTGGATATCAAAGTCAAATCCGGATGCTATGCTTCAGAAGTCCATAGGTGAGATATTCGGAGGGTCGGCGCCTTGCATCAGTCATGGCGCATCCAGAGCTGAGCACTTGTATACTGCTTCAGATGTGAGGTCGCCACCAACACCAGGCTATGCGAGGACCTTGGGACGCTTGCTTGAGACTCGTCAATGCCGGTTCCGAGGTCGGAGCAACCTTTCCGCACGTAGTATCTAGAACTCGAGGCGCGGTGGGGATAGGAACATATAGGTACAGCCTGAATGTATGATGAGGCCAAACCGGTCAGGAATTTGACGTCCGTGTTGATGAGCGGTCGACGATCTGGTTAGACGCACCCTAAATGCAGCCGAGTATGCTCTTCAAGGTGTTCCACACTCACTTCGCTCTCGTAGTGTAGTTCGTTCAACTCCTGTAGGCGGTGTAGTTGATGGAGGCGATTTTAGATGATGATTAGGAGGGGGGGCGGGGGGGCTATGGCAGTGGTAGAAGATGGCGAGCTCTAAGTTTGAGCAGAAGATGAACCTCAAGTAAGTAGCGAAGCAGCGCGGAATCTGTGACAAGCTTGGATAAGACAACAAGAGTACTAGACTCAGGAGGAGCCACCGTCGGCCAAAAGCAGGACCGTTTTCTTCTCTTCTTCTTCTTCTCCTGGAAGGATCGTAACGGAAGGCAAGATATCGCCACATGTGTAGGATATCTGCCCACGCCAACGTGTTGGGAACTTGGGATCAAACGGAAGGCACATCAAATGGAAGTAACGGCGGCTCGGGTTCGCTAGAGGCCTCCTGCTCCTCCTCCTTCGGATAGTCTCCCCGAAAGACGGGAAGTGAAGGTTTACACGGTTCTGAACCCTCCAAGGGCAGGCGCCAGCAGAGAGACCGGCCACACACAAGACAGGAAGGCATAAACTGTCAGGTTCCTTCAAATTTCAGAAATCGCATGACATATTCAGCCCCAACATATTCTTACTGCTTTGAAACCTTTAGGCTATCATAGAAGTTGGCGTCGCCGAATCAAGCACAACATTGGGACCGATTCTAGAGTCTGGTGAATATTAACCCTCACCGGCGTACCAAACAACAGTTTCTGCTACTGTATCATACCGTACAGCTCTCCAGTAATAACCCGATGGAACGATAGATACAGATCTCGAGGTGAGTGTCCCTTTTTGATGATTTCCTCTGGGGCTCACGGAAGCCTATTATTCTCAACTAGCGTTCGACCAATACCAACGTATGCCATTATGAATACTATGCTCCCCTTGCAGGGCTCTGTGTCCCTTTCCGTCGCAACTCGTTCCCCTCTATCCTGGAAGAACGAGCCTTTTCGGAAAGTCGCCGAAAGGTTGATGGGCAAGGCTTGACCAGGCCCCTCGAAAAGAGACAAGAAACACAGCTGCAAGCCTCAATTTCAATCAAGCAGCCGTCCCAAGTTGGACGCTCCAAACTGCCTTGTCAAGAGAAGAAGGCCACTCCGCCGAGTATCTCCATAAAACCAACACGGCCCAGGATTCTCCGTACCAGACTGTCAAAGGCCGCGCTCTACGGCTTCCAATCGTGAGTTCATCTAGTAGCCTCCTCAAGACGCCCTACAAAGTCAAACTATGACACCCACGGGCAACATCAACGTTGGGCGTCGTAACGACGAAAATTGCAATGCTTCTCGGAAACTTCACAACCTCGCAGGACAGGTCCTTATCTAGGTCACAGTAATGCGTTGTCGAAGCCCGATAGCAATCATTTTATCCGTGTATCAACGTGCGAGTCACTGCGAGGGGCTGCTGTCCAATGTGGAGTCGAACCGGAAATCACGCGCAGAACTTCTCCTCGAGCGCATCAGTTCGCCGGCCACACTCGGCGAAAAGAAAGTATGAGGTGGGATCGTCCTACCTACTCAACAAGGCATGTGGGCTTGCGGGCGTCCGAACGGGGACCGTTCTCCGTAACGTAAGCATGGACACACGGAGCAACTGGTGATCTCCGACCCGGACCGGTCGCTTGTAAGTCAAAGAGGACGAACTCTGAGGTTTTAACGGCGACCATCAATTTCTACAGCGTTATGACGTCGAGTCGACACGATTCTCCATGGTGCTGTTTACCCAAGCGAAAACCATAGGACCTCATTCAATGTAGAAAAATCCGATTCGCATACTCAGTTGCGGCAGACCGGCACCGATCGATTAGCCCCATATAACCCGGAACAGCGATGCCAACTACGGCCCCACCATCCCGCGCCGACGTCCCGGCACTGGCGCTTGGGGGGACGGAAGACCATCCAATGGTAGCACATGAAACCAGCCAGCAGCGGCCAAAGCACCGAAGAAATGGCACACGGCAACCGGGCGTATCCGTTCCACACGTTTACAATTTATCCAAAAGGTTTCCTCTACCATTTGCCCTACCGATTTCCGAGCGAGAGTCACGTTCTGGCTCTGTCTTTGCTCAAGAAGATCAGTTGAAGAACCGTGGCTCCTTATCTAAGGGCAGTCAGTTTACTTTGAGGTGTCCCTCACAAACCGTAAAGAAACTTCTCGCAACCGTAACTCCCATCCCATCAAGCTTTTGCAGCCACGGAAGACTGAAGGAGGGACGAAGGATGGCCAACACCTCTTCCTCTCGGAGTCCCTCCCCGCATCGACGTCAGCAAACCACCTACCAGCCAAACTCAGTTCCTCTGATCCAGTGCCGTCTCTCTTCCGTTACCTTCCCCCCTCCACCAAATAGCTCTTCAGCCTCGGTTTCGTCAAATAAGCCGCCCTGTCATCGCCAAAGTCACAACCCAAAAAAGCCAAACAGGCCTACTCCCTGCTTGAAATGCTTGACCTGCTATCTCTCAGAGTCCCACGGGCGACCCAAGCAACCGGCGCACCGGCAGAGGCTTTCCAAAAAGACACAGGCAACGATATCGCTGCTAGGGGAACATTCTCACACCCACCATAATCAGTAATCAAGACTGCAAAGGAGAAAGATACCCAATGGTAATTTGTCGCATTTCAGAATTTGACCTCGAACTTGCTGAAGCATGACATCGCCGATCGTGGTAGAAGATTCCTGGACATCATTAGCTTGACGTTTGCCTCGATCGAATAATGAATCGTCAGCCATGATCCCTTTCCCACTACCCTCCCGTCTGTGCTCCCACCGACTTTGTCCACGTTCATTTGCGCAAATGGATGGGTGTCATGTCAGCCAAGCCTGCATGCGCGCATACGTTACCACTACAAGTTTAAGCTCATTACGGTCAGGCCCTAGGTGCATGTGTCATAAAACAAACGCCAAAGATAAGAAAAATCATGATGAGAGTCAAGAAACTTTTTAATTTCTGGGAAAACCACCCGCGTCTGGTAGGTCCTCCCTGGTATCATCTAATGCCCGCCCCACTCAAATAGAAGTATGTACAAGTGTTGTTGAAGAAACAGTATGGACCTTTGTCCGGTTGACTGGACGCCGGCCCTCTGTCGATTAGTGCGTGAAATACCAATTTTCCTCCCCTCTTCTATGGGCCTGCAGGAACGGTCTCGACGTGCTCTCTCGATTGTAGTGAAACTCAAAAAAACGCCGCTTTGTGATTTAAGGTTGATTGTAGGTGATGATGATGACTCGTTGAATTTCCGCAAACGGTGTTCAGACGTCAAGTCACGCCAAGCCTGCTCCCGCTCATAGCGCGAACAAGACAGCGGCGAAACCGGCCATCATGAGCGAGATGGAAGCGCCGCTTGTAGAGGCGGCACCGGGGAAAGGCACGATGGAGCTTGTCGGCGAAGAGGTGGCGGTAGGGGCGGCGCCGGTTCCGCTCATGGTCGCCGCAGTAGTGGTGGAGCAATTGTCGTGCGTGTCGGGCTTGGTGATGAGCTTGAAGTTGGCGCAGCTGATGCGAGTCTTGTTGGCGAAGTGGAAGACGAAGCTGCGGTTACCGAAGAAGGAGCCGGGGCCCTCGACGATGGAGAGGTAAGGGTCGACGTAGGTCTTTTCGTAGTCGACGGCGACGGCGCCGTGCTTGCCGCTCAGGTCACCGACCTGGCACGTCTCGGGCTTGGAGCTATCGCATTTGGTGGCCTCGCCGCGGATGAAGGGATCGAGATGGGCGAGCGTCTTGGTGCAGTTGCCATCCTCGGGGACGGGGTCAACGTGGAGGTGGTAGGCTGGAGGGTGTTAGTCGCAACGAAAATAAGAAATGAAAATTGAGGGAATGAGCATACTGAAAGGACCGCCCTCCTTGGGAAGGTTCGAGAATCGGACCTTGAATTCGACACCCTTGCCATCGGGGGCAGTCACGGCGACGATGGAGCCCTGGACGTTGCCCTCAAGCGAGCCGGCCTTGTAGAAGGGCTTCTCGGGAAGGACAGCCTCGTAAACAACACCGGCCGGGTTGGAGACGATGGTGGCATCGCCAAGTTCCTGAGAGTCATGTTAGTACGCTTGAATCCTAGCATGTGAATTGAAGACGTGGTGACATACGCCAGTGGACTGGGAAGCGACACGGCTAACAGCCGCGGCGGCGATGATGGAGACGACGGAGAAGGACTTCATTTTGGCGGTGATAATCTTGTTGCAATATCCTAGGTTGCTGAGGGGCGGGATAAAACTGGTTGGAATGCGGCAAGCGATGATCAAGGGCGAGCTTGTGAAGTTGGGGGTTAAGTGAAGGGTAAGAGGGGTTGGGAGAGCTTCTTAAAAGAATAAGAGACCGTGGGGATGCCCAGACCAAGTGATGATCCAACTGGGGAGGTAGTGAGCGTAGGTTGGAATTGGAAAGCTAATGGAGATCTGCAAACGGCAAGAAGGTATTGGGTTGAGACTCTTTATGGCCCACACACACGCTCACTCACACGAGAGAGAGACTCGAGAGAGATGTGATGAGGATGGGACCAACGACAGCCCCCAATGCCACGGTAGCTTGGCACCCTACAGGCCGGTATGTATGCGGAATGCCAACGGCAGGGTGAATGACCGCACCCCGGCTGCGCTAGCTCCAGATTAATCAAAGAAAGGAACGAGAGTCAAGAGGAGGCCACAACATCGGATGCTTTGAGCCATCATGTATTTCGTACGACCAGGGGGGAAGAGGAGTGGAAGGGGATGTAGTGTAGAAACGGCAGCTAGCCGTCGGCGCATCTAGGCGAATGAGAAGAATGTTTCTCTCGCAAGGTACGTATCGAAGCTTTGCGCTGCCGGGGTGGACCTTGTGCACCCTGTGCTACGAGAGAAGAGATGATGGAAGGGCAAGCTGCAATCTGCAAGCTGCAGGAGGGAGAGTCATAGGAGGAGGAGGGCCAGGAGTTGGGGGGAACGTCAAAGAGACAAGGCAGGCAGGTGAGTTCGCAGGCGGTAGGTAGAAGGGACCGTCTTGCTCTTTCGTGAGTCGTGACGGGCAAAGGAAAGTTCAACTCAATGACAAGGAGACTGGCCATTGCCTCAATAGCCGACGGGGTTTACCTTACTAGTATTGATTAGAGTACGGATACTTCGGTACGGGAAGCGGAAGCGAACACAACCTCCTTCACTCTGAGTATTCGCAGTCAGGATGAATAGATGGTCAATAGCTACGAATGGAGTCCCTGTCCCACGCCTAGAGATCTCCATGACATGGTCGAGCCAAGCAAGCACCAACCTCGGGACTTTTGATAGTGTATCCGTAGCTGTAAGGGCCGGCAGGGGCTGCAAGGCGAGGAAAGGAAACACACAGAGAAGGGCCAGAATCCTGGTAGGCATCTTGCCCGATTTGGCATCTCGCTTGCTGGGATTTGGTGCGGGAACAGCGGAGGGTAAGACAGGCGGATGAGCTCGCGCCAGGAGCGACGGGAGGGATGGGCGCAAGGGAAGGCAAATCCATTAGCTGCCACTGGGCAGACGAGACTGGGGTAGCAACTCTGAACTCTGGGCTACTACATACATTGCATGGAACAAAAACAAATAGGCGGTTGGTGATGTCTGACTTTTGTTTTCCCATGCACTGCGCCACCTTGGAAACCCATTTCGCCCCTGCCAATCAGAAATAGATTGCGCGCTCCAAAGAAACGTGCCAACGGCGAACACAAACAAGTTCGGGGGCTTTTAGGGGCACGCAGCTCGCAGATGCGTACAGATACTTATGTTGCTGAACATGCAGATAGCCGCTCAAAGAGCAGGGCAAGGCTGACGAGTCGGTGGTCGTGGAAAGAGGGAAGCTCAAAGTTAGACAGAGAAGCAGTGTCACTACATGTCAGAATTCTGCCAAACAAATGACCAAGAGCATTGGTAGAAACAGAGGCTGAGGCAGAAACGGCGGCTATCCAGCCTCCTCTTGACGTACAGCTGTTCGTCTGCCTTGTTGTTGGTTTCAATGATGGAAATGAGCCTGCTCTACCACGAGCCTGGGAAGAGG